TAGGTACATTTTCCTGTGAGATTGGGTTGGTTTTTCATCCACACAGTAGACTCTTAAAAATAAAGGTTCTTTATTGGCTTTTGTGGTTCCATGTAGAACCTTTAACATTCATGGAATCTTTCAAGAAAACTTGAAATTGAAGTTGTATTAACTGATTAAGTTCAATCCAGGAAAGTTATTCTAATGTTAAATTTTAAGTTGTGATAGCCAATTGCAACAATATTTTTGTAGTGTACAAGAGCCAACAATACTTTTAAGTTTCAAGAGTAAGCTACTGTAGAGTAGGGATGCACCGAAATTTCCGAAATTTGGCATTTTCACCATTTGGCCGAAAGAGAAAAACACGCTATTGTGCTGTAACATCAGTACTGGGCAACGCTGGTGGAACGACGCTACGCTCTCATGACGCTATGCTCTGATAATAATAGCTTTGTAGGACTATACATTATTTGGATAATTAAACAAAAAAAAAATTCAGTTAAATCTGATTCTGTAAAAATAAAAATAACATATTGATATTTAATATTAATATATTTTTTGTCCAATTTTATTGTTTTACTTTCAATAAATGTGTGGTTATTTTATTGGCTTGTATTTTTTTTTTATTCAGTATCATTAAAATTATTGAGTTAAATGAAAAAGTCTTACAAAATTATTTTATATTATTTAATAAAATAATCAGTAATTATAAAAAGGTTTTCGGCCAAGTGCATCCAGAATTTCCAAGGTTTCGGCCCAGAATTTTCATTTGTGCGTCCCTACAGAAGCTCGAGAAAAAAAGTATTGCATTTGTTTTATAGAATTTATAGGACTTGTCTTTGATTTGTGATTGTGGCTTAAGTGCTTGCAGAAGGGGTTTGTCTTTAGCTGTTTCTTACAGTTTGCAGAAGTGTAATCTGATGTATTTTAGGGATGGGCATTCCAAGCAAAACTAATATTCGAAAATCGCTGGGTATTATTCGATTATTATTCGAAAATCGCACCCCTCCAATGCAAATTAGTGATGGGAAGTTCGGATCATTTTACAGACTCTGACCTTTGAGTCTTGTTCAGCAAAATGAACGAATCTTTTTTCGAGTCATTTCGTCCATTTTAGCAAAATATAATTAAAAAATGTTACGTGTTACTTCCCTTTTGTTCAAAATGAACGAATCGTTCAAGAACGACCCAACACTACCCCGCATGCACGCACAAATACCATAAACAGAGAGAGACGGGATTCACGCTTTCAATCTATATGATAAACTGTTTAATTCAGAAGATAGGCTACCTTAACTCAGGCCATATAATGATTGAAACGTGCTGAAACATATGAATATAATAAACATAATGAACGACGGCACTTAACATAACAGCCCATCGATTAGCATAAATCAACTGCTCATAAGGCTAGGACATTTCCATTTCCAAAAATGGAACCCCTAAAGGTAATAGATACGAGATGGGAGGAAAAATATACTTCAATATCTTCTGTCGCAGTTATATCGTTGGGTAATTATACTGTATATAAACTGCAGGTATCAGGGAGCCGTTATTAATATGCGGGGCATTGAAATCGTTTATGAACGCGCGCTTGTTTTTTACTTTCACTTTCGAGATTCGGGATCACACGTAAGGAGCAGCACTCGGCAAGATTAGATGTTTGTCAGTGCTGCTCAGGAACTGCAAATCATTCGCCATCATCCTATCAGTCATCTCTCCTTACTCTGTTTATGTGGTAAGTGAAATGTTAACAGGCTACCGCTAGCAAGCGGCTAACCATGTCCCTTTAATCGCTCCCTAGAACAGAACACATTATTTGTTTTCCGCGCTTTTCTGAATATGGATTCAGCCACACCTCTAACCCAGTCGGGGGTGTTTGTGGTCCGCACAGAAATTTTTCAAGACAATAATCGCAAAACCTATTCGATATTCTATAATTAAATCAACTAATCGAATATTCGAAAATCGTGACCCATCCCTAATGTATTTAACTTGATTTAATTAAATTAAATAATGTTTTTTTAAAATTTATATTATCAGTTTATTTAGATGTTACCACATGAAGCACATTTTTGGTTACTTGACAAAGTATTTTTGTGCAAGAGAGGCTTGAAGAAAGTTTGATGCCTGAATCCCAGACTTCCCAGTATAGGACTGATTTTGTATGGGTGAATAAACAAATCATTTTATGGATTTTTCCCCGTACAGTATTTGAAGCGTGTATCTGAGGTGAGGCTGCAGTTATTCTCCTGTGGCAAAAAATAATCTGCTGAAGTTTCTCATGAAATGATTTTGCTTTGTTGAACTTGATTGGCAGCTGCTGACACGGGCGGCAGTGTTCATCCAATCAAACGTAATGTTCCACCCACATGTCTTGAGACATCTGTCAATCCCGGCAGAAACAAGCTTTGTGTGCAGAGTGTTAAGGACAGCTATTGTTGCCGTGCTTCTGATGGACGGCATTATCTCCCTGATCTCAAACACAAGCCTGTTATGTTTTTTTTTCATCTTAAATCTTTCTATAGCAATTTGCATGCAGAAAATAACTGACTGTGTGGAATAAACTCCCTAGACAAATAAGATCTCTTTATTATTGTTAACTAAGACTAAAACCATAAAAAAAAATATTTTCAATACTCAAAATAAATGTTACTGAAATAAAATAAAATACAAAAAAACCCTTAAACTTATTTTAAGTTAGTTGCCAAGGTAGTCAAGGTAGTTTATGTAGTTTAACTTGTTGTATGAAAATAACTAAAACTAATTTAAATTAAACTAATAAATATAAATGAGTAAATACTATACAGACATATATTTTTAAAAAATAATAAAAATTACTTACTTAAACTTTCACTAAAATTAAAGTGAAAACAAAATATTTAAAAAAATTCTTAAACTTATTTTAAGCTTGTTGCCAGAGCAACATTTCTCATTTTCATTTAAAGATAAAGTACTACAATAATTGAAACTAATTAAGCTGAAACTAATAAAAATATACTATGTAGACATATTTTAAGTTTTAAAAATAATAATAAAAAACACAAGAAAATTGCTAAAAATTTTAAATGTAAGTGAAAACAATAAATATAAATATTTAATATATATAATTTTTTTTGAAAAAGACAAATATTAAATAAAACATATGAACAAAAACTACAATACTACCTCAATGATACTAACACTGATTGTTTTCATTTTAAATTGTTTCAGCTGTTTTTCTATGACAGCAATGCGATTAAATTAAGAGCCACTAGAGACTTGGCAAAAAAAGACCCAAGAAAGATATCATATAAGACTTGAACTATTGATTGAGGAACTGAGGAACCTTTGAGCAAAAATGTTGTCTTCTGATTTGACAGTTGGAAACGTCAGTGTTTTATTTCACCTTACATACCAAAATAGTCATGTTTGGTTTGATTGAGGCGTACGAGTGTGATTTGAGATCAGGTGTCGGGAATGAACAGAGTTGTTGGGGTTCCTGTTGTCCTTTTTATCTGCAGGCAGCTGTCAAACCGTTGAGTGGAAAATGTTAATCTTCCTGTGTGATTGCATTGACCCTAAAGCATCGATGGCACGTCGTCGCTGTGTGATTGTCATGGTGACAGCTGTCCAGCCGCTTCACTGGTGTGAAATCACTTTCACGGTAGAAAGCACTACCTGTGCCGGTGGACGCAGGTGGGACGCAGCTGCAGTTTGTGCTTCTGTATTGCCCACCACTGTCACATCAAGATAAAAATGTAACATATGAATGCCAGATAAACATTTGCAAATATGTGGTTGGTACCCTGTGGGAAATTACCAGCAAGTATAATGTTTAGCTAGCAGTCCCTATAGGATCACCGACAGATCAAATCACTGTGGTAATGTTTCAACTGCATATCTGTGTGTATTGTGCACAAATCTGAAACCAATGAATTGATCGAATCTGTGACCTTTTAGCACCCATCAATAAACTGCATTGCATCTTACCAGATATTTCAATAATCTGACCAGTCATGTTGTGACCCCAGGCCTGTAATGAAAAAGCATAACCGTTTGTCACTGATATTTATCCGACTAATTCCACTTCAGCTAATAATTTTGCTGTTATTTAATGATATAGTTTTTGCTCTCCATTAAAATTTCCTCAGACAGTCTAATTGTTTTAACAGACACATCAAGCACCGGAGAGCTTTTGAGTGCTTTGGCTTGAAAGTCTTTCCTGGAAGAGGGATATTGAAGATGGATTTGATAAGAATAACAGCTTCAGTTAATCAATCAGTCTTAAAAGCTCAATTAATCAAGCTCAGTCTTTTAAAGATGAGCTTCTGCGACACTTCTGAACATCTACAACAAATAAAGATTTCAGTCAGTTTTCCATAAAAGAGTTTGAAGGTTTGTGGTTGGTAGGATTTTAAAAATATTTTCTATTTGATAAAAAATACAGTAAAATCAGAAATATTGTGAAATATTATTACAATGTAAAAAAACTGTTTTATATTTGAAGATATTTTTAAAATGTAATTTAATCCTGTGATGCAAAGCTGAATTTTCAGCATCATTACTCCAGTCTTCAGTGTCACATGATCCTTCAGAAATCATTCTAATATGATGATTTGCTGCTCAGAAAACATTTCTTATTATTAAAATGTTGAAAACAGTTGTGCTGCTTTATATTTTTTTTGTGGAAACCATGATACATTTTTTTAAATTCTTGATGAATAGAAAGTTCAACATTTATGTGAAATATAATTATTGTATTATAATAAATGTCTTTACTATCATTTTTGTCCAATTTAATGCATCCTTGCTGATGTATAAAATATATAAATTAACGATTTAGGTAGTTTCTTGTTGCTGCATTTCAGGATTTATGTTTTTAAAGTTTTCAGGGAGGGAAATTTAATATTGATCTTTGTTTTGCAGAAATAAGTGCTGCATTTGTCACGCTGACGTTGGCTGGTGCTCTCAGATAATTGCTTTATAAAATAAACAGCCATTCAGTAGAATTAATGTATGTGCATGTGCTTGCTTTCCAGATTACGATGCTTGGTAAAACAGTTGGAGAGGGGAGAGGTGTCTCTCGTGGACCTGAAGAAAAACCTGGAATATGCTGCCACTGTTTTGGAATCAGTCTATATTGAGGAAACAAGGTAAATTTTGTTGCCAAAATCTGAAATCTATCCAATGGCAATCAACCTGAAATTATAAATAAGTTGAGACTCGTATCTTCAAAATAAGCTATGGAAAAATAGGTTTTGAGTGGAATACTGCATGCTACACCATTCCAAACATATACATTTTCTCATGCTGTTTCATGAAAGACATCATTTGCAAAGTAACTGCTTGGACTACGTGGTACATTTATGATGAATAACCATCTCCAGGCTGTTTTATTCTCTTCACAAATGTTTGACACCGCTGCATCGCTCACGAAGCTGTAACAACGCATTATTCAGTCTTTCCATGTCAATGCTGATCCAGCTTTTCCACACAATCCCTAAATGGAGTCATTGTAAAGGGAAAATTGTAAAATTGGTCCAGGATCAGTCTAATAGAGCCTTAAGCTATTCACTCATGCAGAAAGAGGTCGATTCAATTAGCAGTTAAAGATCTGTGTGCTTCAATCCCAAGATTGTTGGATTGAGTGAGTGGCCAGTTGAAGGGTCACAGGGGTCAACGCTACTGCTGTGTCCTTCAGCAAGGCCTTCAAAAAATGATTTTTGTTAAGGATGTAAATTTCTGCTTGGACAATGATTCAACTATTTTTTAAACACTACCAAAATTTTTTTTTTTTATTGCTTTACCTTTGAAGCGCAATGCAGATGCCATGGTATATGAATATGATAATTACACAGTCCATGCTATTAAAGTAGTGTGGTATCAAAATTTAATACCATAGTTGTTTACCATATTGAGGGTTTGCAGGCTATTCTCTGGTTGAATTTTTTGAAAATAAAAACAAAGTTTTTCTAAAATGAGGCATATTTAGTACTATTAAGAATGTTTTCATTGGGCCATTACTTTTAAGAGAGCATATTTTCTCTCATTTACACTCAATAAATAAATACATTCATGAGTAAATATGTAAATAAACAAACATAAACATATAAACAACAATTAATTTATATATATATATATATATATACATACATGGGTCAAAGACGAAAAAAACAATTAGTCTAATACTGCTTTAAATTGTTGTTGTTTTTCCCCCAAAAATGTTAAAAAGTTTTCTGATTAATTTAATTGCAATTTTGTTTTTGTTTTTACCAGCAAAAAATAAATATCATACATTTATCCCAGATTTACAGAAGAGACCCACTAAAATGTCATTCAGTGTAACAATCTTGTCAGGCATATTTACAACAAAAATCAATTTATGACATATTAAAAGACTAATTACTTTCACCCCAAATACTAATTAGTTGTAATTTTACATTTTTTAAAATTTGCCACTATCCTAGGTTTTGCCCATTTGTCAGTAAGAATTTTTTACTCATTTAAAACACAATCAAATTTAATATGCTCCCTTATTCTTTTATATATTTTAATATGTACACGTCAGAATAAGCATGTTGTTTGAATTTTTACATAAATATTGTGTTACACTGAATGACAATGTAACATTATTTCAACCAAATTTTGACATTTTATCCTCCAAAAACTTATTTGAAACCTTAAAAGTAGACACTTTACTTAAATATAATGTGCTTTCTATGGACATAAAATCACTTTTGTAAATTTCTTTTGATGCGGACATCTTAATGTCTTTGACCCACATACATACACACACACACAAGTATCAATTTTATCAAAATTTTCAATTATATATATATATAATTTTTTTCATAAAAGTAATTTCATTAATTTTCAGTAATAATATGTAATATTTATGTTATATACTGTATGTAACCGTTTATAATAATTCATTTAATTGGTTTTCAATTAATGGATATTATGTATATGTATTTTATACAAAATATAACACAAAATATCTTATTTTGGGTTGAAATGTCACCCAGACATGTTTTCATCAGGATAAAAGCGATTGCTAAATGAATAAATAAATGTGTGGACATGAGAACATGCTGATAGCCTTATTGAGAGCACATAAACGAACACCTGCAGTATGAAAGAAGCCGAAAAACTGATTCCTTATCAGTGCCGTTTCATTCACTTTCAATGATAGTATTTAATGTCTCTGCAGGGGCGATGCAGCGCTCCATCACGGCGCTCGAGTGCCACTAATAGCTTTATTTTGATGTGCAGAGTGAAGAATAGCAGCTGTGAATATTTAGATGGCAGAAATGATAAAAGCTTATGGAATTATGTAACAGGAACGTCATTGCGGCCCGGGATTACGACAAACCCGCTCATGCCAAACCACAGAGACCACCAGTCCGGTCTGATCAGATTCATATTCGCTCTGTGATTTATGACTGTTGTGGACTTTAAATCCGTCATAAGAGCTTATGTCTGGATACACAGATGTTTATGGCACAGTTGCTGCGAAGTTGTTTTTAGCGGTGTAAGATGATTAAATGTCAATCCAGTGCCATTCCAAAGCAAATTTACAACACACGTGGTATTACCATAATTATGCGGATGAGTGATGGATTGGTCCTAAACCAGTAGGTCTTGGCTCGAGCATCAATCACAGTTTAGATTAAGTATAAATAGTCATTTATCCTCCTCATATGCACAACAATTACCTGTCACAGCTGATATTTTAAGAGTAAGTGGTGATGATGGAAGTGTCTTTCCCTCCCTCCCTCTCTCTCTTTCTCTAAGGCGATTGGTCGATACCGAGGATGAGCTCAGCGACATCCAATCAGATTCTGTGCCGTCAGAGGTCCGTGATTGGCTGGCCTCCACCTTCACGCGGCAGATGGGGCTGATGCTGCGACGGACGGAAGAGAAGCCGCGATTTCGCAGCATCGTACACGCAGTGCAAGCTGGGATATTCGTGGAGAGGTGGGGTTAAACGCAAAGCAATATGCTAAAAACAGCCTAGCATTGTAAAAGCTCAGATTTTCATGTAAAATTGTAATTTAGTTTTCCTTTTCTTTGATCCTTACAATTTAAACAGGCAATTATTTTTTGCTATTATTTTATATATATTTATATATATTAATAATTTTTGTTTTAGCTAATAATATCCACACTGGAAAAAAAAAAACACATCTAGCTGTAATTTTTGTAACTTTAAAACCAAGAACACAAGCCAAAATCTTCCAGTTGCTCATGAATCAATCTACTTCCTCTTCAGGACATTTTTTCCTCGCCAGGCAGCATTAAAGTCTTTTGTGAAATGATTATAAATCTATGTGTTGAGCTCCGAGTGAGTCAGCTTATACATATACATCAACCTCCTGACAAGTCTGAATAACTACAATCTCTCTCTCTCTCTCTCTCTCTCTCTCTCTCACTCTCATCCGTTAGCAACATTTCATTAAATTCTAATGCATTTCAGGCAACACTGCACAAATACATTGCTTTGACAAAGCATTTCCTTAAAGAAAGTACAGGTTGTCCTCTGCATTTGATGTTCTGGGGTTTGTAGGTGAAGATTAGGGCATTGTGTTTGGAGAGTCTGTGGTCTGTGCTGCCGCTTTTACTTGTTGAGATGTTTTTATCTCTTTCTAACAGAATGTACCGGCGAAATTTCGCAGCATCGTACACGCAGTGCAAGCTGGGATATTCGTGGAGAGGTGGGGTTAAACGCAAAGCAATATGCTAAAAACAGCCTAGCATTGTAAAAGCTCAGATTTTCATGTAAAATTGTAATTTAGTTTTCCTTTTCTTTGATCCTTACAATTTAAACAGGCAATTATTTTTTGCTATTATACCTTTAAAACTTTTAAACGCCCTCTTTTCATGTGAAATAAGTATGTTATTTCAGTTGTGTGTATATATATATATATATATATATATTTTTTTTTACCTAATATTTATTTTATTTCAGTTTTATTTCAATGACCAAA